TGCATAAGAATATTTCGTCACTGTCGGCGTATTTGTTGTTATGATTTTAAATTGAGCAGATGGGTGAATCTGTTCATTTTCCCAGCCATATTGCGTTCCATTAATGAATGGAATGATTTTTTTGGAACTGAAAGAATTTTCATCTCGAATGAAATGATCAGTCATCATTCATAAGATTATCTGAATGCGAATGGCGTAATAGGAAAATGTGAAGAATATGAATATACAGACTTGAATTTTGAGAAATATTGGTGGAAAATTTTCATGGGAAATACAGTTTTAAGGCTTAGATCGATTAATGTTTGTTGTATGTGAATGGGCCAACAGTGAACAGTTACTGGAGGATTGCTTGAAAATGGAACATCTTTGTATACTGCTGATTCAGTTCGGTCTTGGCTATCTTACTGGGCAGGATGCGTCATCGCCGAATGTTTTTCTCGAAAAGGTTCGCATTGATGTATGCAATGGCATTGCAAAAATATCCACTTTTGACTGCTCAATTGGTGTATAACGATGAAATTTTTCTTTGGTTTCTTGATTACGATTCAGTTGTCGCATTATTTTCAGCGCTCCTCTCAAACTTCAGTTATGCCTTATTGCTAAGGGTTGCCGCAAGAATATTTCTCATTGGAACAGTTTCACATAGACCTACTATGAATTGTTCGCAAATGTCTCAGAGTTTTATTTGTAGACCGATACGCTATTGAATGTGGATGAACGAAGCGATGAGGATGGTGCGAGAAGTGGCGCTGACGAATGCTTTGATCTGAGCGATCGTTTAGGTGGCTTAGGCAAATGCTTCATGGATTTTCTGCAATTTTTGACATCAAGACGATTCGAAACGATGAAATTGATCAACTTCATGCATCCGAACCTCGGATTTCATTCGATTCTAATGCGTGGACAGTGGCGACATCTGCATAAGGCACGTTCACTGTTCGTCTTATGAACGTTCAGTTCTTCGTCGTTTTAATTCATCTGCATTAGTGAATTCGTTTTGCATTCTGCTCATTGATTTGGTCGGATTTTTTCAGTGCTCGTTGCTTGACATCAGTTTGAGTATTGATGAGTCCTAAAAAGTCAACCATGATGAGCATTAAATCTTAAACAGTAATGCAACGCTTGTTTAGCTTCAATCAGAATTTCCTGTAGTATATTTGAGATCTGTCAGTGGTGATCCGCTGTCGCATTTGTTGTTCGCGTCGATTTTTTCCTCGTCCCATTCACTTGTTATAGTGGATGAGGTATTTTCGTATGTCGTGTGGTTGGGCAGAGCGTTTACGACAAACGTATCATTTACTTATACAAACACCAACAATGAACAGAAGAAATTTTGCATTAAAAACATTTGTTAGATTAAGGTGTGATAAGAGGGGATGATGTTATAAGAAATGACGTGATGTGTATTGCCAAAACCAATATATTTCGATACGTTCAGAAATAAGATATAACAGTTTGATAAGGAATAAATATTGCACATCGAAGGTGAATTACAAAATTAACTGCCGAGCCTGAAATCAGTATCACACCTGTCGAAAGCGTCGTCCTTCCCGATTACCAGTTTCGTGTGTACCATTGATGGACAGTATCTCACTTTCCAAGTTTGACTGCTCGAGTTCTGGCACTGCTGAAAATGCTGAAAACGCTAAAACTGGTTTTGTGACATTGATTGATTCGCTTCGAGATGACGCTGGGGAATTCGGCGTGATTGTTTCATTCGGCAGCATAGTACGATTTTGAGACAATTCACATAATATCCAACTGCAGCGATGACGATCATTACAATTATCATTACTGCGATTCCCGTAATAAATTTCTAGTGCTTTTCGATTTCTTCTAGTTCATTTTCGATAATCTGCACTATCTTATCGACTGACTACATCGAGAAAAAAAAAAACAATCCTGTCTCGTCACTGATTGTTTTAACCATCCCGGAGTGTTTATCGGCTCTCTGTAATGATACGTTCACAAAATCGTTTTGGTGGGTTGTCATTTTAATGGCTGCAGAGATTTGCTCTTCAGTGATCGTCGGTAAATTTCTTGCACTGAAGATGATATCATCATGTTCCAATTTGAGTCTTTCTTCTTCCTGTATGTTTTGAATATTGCGATGTTGTTCTATTGTACCGCATTTTGCTATGGTGGAATTGAATTTCAAGTCGGTTGATCGTGCTTTCACGAATGCAATTCGATTCTTGATTCTCACTGGAAGTTCTGAGTAGCACGGTCCACTGACTTCGTGATTAATGAAGATTTCGTTTAAGTCGATATTTCGGCATGGAAATATCTTCATAGTACCACCTTCATTTTTCGCACTTATATCCGTTCTTCTGAGCAGAATTCGTGCGGCAGTAGTTGGGTCGCTTTACGAAATGCATTCAATGATATCATGTATGTAATTCTGGGTTTTGCAAATGACTTTCCTCGTTTCCACCATGTCTCGAGTTTCCATAGTCTCCAAGTGATCATACAAATACTGAAGTTTCGTATTGATAAGGTCGAATTTCTCGTTTTCAGGAACATCTTGCATGAAAAGCATTTTTCCCGATTTGCCGTGATTCACTTTCTTTTCATGCTGAATGTCTGGATTTTTTTGGTTATTGTTTATTGTTTTCAGGCTGCGCTTAAAACATTGTATTCCATCGTTTTAACGGGACGTTTTGATGCACTTACTCGTCACACTGCTGAGACGCAAAATTATTCGCATTCGAAGGTTTGTTTGTCTCGAACCGTTGGTTTTTTCTCACATTGGAATGATTTTTTCCGATTTGTTCAATTCTCTGTCAGCTTTCGGAACTTGATTGACTCGTTTCTGTGTTATTATTATTCGAGTTTTGCCAAATTGAAAAGATAATTGTATAGAAGCTTAAATAACAATTTTGGATCACATTAAAGGAGGCGACAGTTGACGACACTTATCTGAGCGAATTGGAACCGTTTGTAATTGAGTTGCCGGATGATATGAAAAATGAGGACGAAGAAATCGTCAATAAAATACGTTTGCATGCGGGTGTTAAATATTTACATATGAGACGATTGGGTAAACCGAGAAGTAAGTTGATCGTGTAATATTCATAGTGAATTGTGTAACTTTTATTTTGAATGCTTCATATCATTTCTGAGTTTCTAGTGAAGTTTTCTTGTCAATATGCGCACAGAACTGTTGTTTACAATTAGCAGAACGATGAAATTGTATCAAATCGAATGTTATAGTTCATGCATTCATTTTTAAAAATTGCGCATGATCTTATTATCTATAAATTGTTTCAAATCATTCCACAATATGAAGTCGTATATTATTGAATGGCCTTTCGCTGACCTGTGCAATGAAATTGCCCTTTGCATTTGCTTCAAAGTTCCAGAGACTGGTATCATCACACTTTATCATGGTTACAATTCCGCACGCTGTGCAATTAAGTCGTCCTTGATGTCGCAGATAGATTCATTTAGCGTTGTTCAATCATTCAAGGAAGATAAATTATATCGATTACAA